CGAGACTTTATAAACACACATCCGAATCCTTTCTACTTTATACGTGAATATATGTATAAATCTTTAGAGAAAATTCCACTGACATATGCTGTGGTATGGAAAGTATTTACTCACATGTAGGCACACAGGAACATCAATATTTTGAATTTTTGCTTTTATATGCTTTTCTTTGGCTTCCCCCTCATAAGCTCTAACGAACATTTAAGTAACAAGAAAATGGTTAAAAATAAGAAGCATGTTGAAATGATATATTGTCTAGGCAGGAGTACGTAATAATACATATTATGTGGGATTTGATAGATGGGTGTGATTACTGTCTCATAGAAAGTTCGTTTCCAAATTACCTTATCGCCACATTTTTGGAATTAGCTAGTAAATTAATCAAAACCATTGATTTTAATTACATCCCATAAATGAGCGTATGGATGAGAAAGCAAACGTCAAGAAATCCAGAAAGCAGTTTTCTTAAATGATGTTCCAAGTTATTTGAAGTTGTGCGGCATTATAGTTGATATTGGAAGTGGTATAAGGAGTCAAATATCCAATTTTAGATAAACGTCATTTTTAAATAATTTTGAAAGCATAATTTGAAGAACAAATGAAAATAAATGTAATAAACTCAACAGCAGTGGATTTAAATAAAACAACATCGTCCTTGAAACGAGAAACATTAATCCATTGATATGAATAATTCATCAGTCATTAAATGGGGAGAGAAAAAAAAATGAAAATTGTGTTTTAAAAAAGCAAAATGTAAAGCAGATCATTAATTTAAAGAATATAAATTGTTCTTCTTCTTATTTTAATTTCAAGCATATAATGGAACATTTTATGTATATTTGTAATTTCATTGTATTTAATATAGCTTTTAAGTATTTTGTGAATGTTTCTTGATTGATTTGATTCAGCTTTCGAATTACTTTTTAAGAAGAAATTTAATTGAATTTTCAAAACTATTTTATCCGAGAATTTAAGTTTCTGATTGATGATTTAAGATCAACAAGAATTATAATGGAGATTTTAATTGGGCAAGTATTTTTGATACTTCATTTGTATGTTAAATTCTTTTGATTAGATTGTTATTTAATCTCGAGCCATCTTCCTACTTAAACGTGCTTAAACGTATTAGGAATTTCTAAGATCACTAAACATTGAATATTTATGGGAAAGCATTTGCTGCAAATCTTAAAACATTAACATTTCACATGACTCTTAAATGAAATCATAGACTTTTTCTGTTTACTTACTAGACAACATGTATCCAAATGATAAAAGTTCTTAACACGCTGGAATATCTATGATTTTAAAAAGAATTCAGTAGATTGATAAGAAAGAATTAAAAGTTTATTTAAAAATAGAAGTGAAATTAGAGATTGACGGCTTTTTAATTAGAGAAGATTCGTAGCAAGGGTGCGGAACTGAAGAACTACATTTTGATCATTTTTGATCAATTTTAATCATTTTTGATCATTTTTGATCGTTTCATCAGTACCACAACCTTGATTCGTAGAGAGACAATTTTTCACTTCTAAAAAGTTCTCTGTTTTAAATTAAACATGTACAACAATGTACAATATCTTCTCTACCGTTGAAACATTGGATTTAAATTGCAGCGTTCTTATGCTATGTTTTCAAACATTTTAAAACTTTAATCTTTATTTAAAATCTTTCAACCTGAACACTCATTCGTAGAAAAAGCTAATTTCCCTAAGCTTTATGTTCGTATACTTAAGTCTTTTAAACCTCAATAGACTACATTCAATGATTCAGATATTCATAAATCTTCGAATACTTTAAGATTACGGATAAATGATTTTTTTCTCTCTCTCCTTTATCCTTCGACATTCTCAAATTCATTTTTAATTCATGTTTCCAACAATATCTTAATCTTGAGTATCTCGTGAACTTGTTTACGAATTCTCAAGAGCTTTTGAATGTGACCCATTCTATCCATCTAAAGCAATACAAAATTCATTCCTTATTACTCGTTCTTAAGGATGCTTGAGCAAAGAATACACTTTGCAGAGAATAAATAGCATACAAATTATTTCAACGGATGCTTAAGAATATTTATTAATTGCAGATGGTAATAAAAGATATAATAATAATGAAAAAGTACGTCAGGCACAATTAACAATAAATCAGAAGAGAAAAGTGAAGTAGATTCATAGAAAAACAATGAAAGGCTATAAAGCCCAACAGAGCTTTCATTGTTCTTTTATTTATTCTGCCTTTTTTCCCCTATTTGCCACACTCAAAGCTATTCTCTCATACTTTCTTTTTATTAAAATTATTCGCTCACTTTTTGTATTATGTTATTATTACTGCTGACATTGTGTTTGTTATTATTTCATGGTTGTTGCTGTTTTTGTCCTTTCTTCATCTACTTACTTACCACCTCCACACTCTCTTTCTCTCTATATGTCATATATTCATGATCAAATAAAATTGATGATGGATTGCGGCTGAATATTAGGATATATTATTTTATTTAGTCTGAGTATAGTCCTTAAGTGCACTCATGAATAATAAATGTATGAAAAGTGAATATAAAAAATTACATCATTGAATATAATTTGGATATTTTTATTTTTTCATTGAAAACACATTCGTAGTTTTTTTAACCATTTGCCTAATCATCCTGATAAATTGAAGGGTGTATGGATGAAGAGTAGGGGGCACCTTAATAAATTGATATGAAAGACAACCATATAAATACGCCAGATATACATTAAATTTTCATGAGTGTAAGAAAGGAAAATTTATGCGATTGCTTTTCTGATACAGAAGGAAGAAGATATTTATCGATTGAAGCAAAGAAAGAAATTTAAACGAGGAAGAAAAACAAAAATAAAAAGTTTATCCAACCAACTTTATAAGAAACACGAGATGAGACGTGATGAAATAAACCTGCTGGGTTTCATACACGATCGATGTGAAAAAGAACAAACATACTAAGTTAGGACTATCTTCGTGCATTATGATAGGTGAAATAATCAAACAAAACTTTGAAGCTCATTCTATTGTTTGTGAAGCTTTATCGAGCTATTAATTCAACAAGCAATGAGAGGTCGTTCAGTCCATGTGACTTACTTTATGAAATCACTCAAACTTCTGAGTAAGAGACATACTGTAGATTATTGAAGAGAATCTAATTAATCTACTTTTGATGTCGTTGGAGACCAACTCCTTAAAAATAATAAGAAACATTAAACGCTAAACTTTTCAAAAAATCTTAGACAATTTAAAGTCTATAAACCTTAAGTACTTTTCTTAAAGCATTTCCATAAATGGAATTTTTTTTTAAATCCACAATTGTGGGTGCAATTTATGCTTCATTTATTTTTCGTGGGAGCAGTTCGGAAAGTATAAGTACTGTAGATTTTATAAGTGATTAAAAGTACTTTGTGTTATTTTTCCAACATCCTCGGAAAATTTACACATTTATTTTTCGAGCTCTTACCGCAATCAGAGTCTTTTGAAATCAGAATGTCCATTTTGGGGAACTTTTTATAAACTTTTATGGTGAACATAAAAATTAAGATAATAAAAATCAGATTAATGTCTGGAAAATCCTAGCTGCTTGGTCTATTGGGATTAATGAAAATATAATTTTGAATTTTATGTGCAGTTCGGATTTTGCTATGCACTGCTTGACATTAAATTAATGAATATGTGAATGTAAAATAGTTTAAAAGTTCAAAAAGGAGAAAAATCACTGAACATTTTTTTTGAGCTTCTGATAAAGCTTCTATTCTTGCTTATACGTTACATGATACTCGTTTTTATTTTATGTACATTCTTTTGATGTTTCACACAATTTTTCAAAGCTGAAATTCTGAGCCGCAAATTTGTTATGAAGTTTACATAATGGATATGCTTTTCTGAACATTTCAAGTATGCTTTATCGTTGAATTTTTGACAAACTTTTGATATCGAGATAATAACAAACATGCGATATTCCAAGAAATTCTGTAAATTTCAGGAAAAGCTTCAAAGTGGCTTTAAGCCCAAGAAGAATGTCTTGAAACTCTCATTTTATGGTTTCACAACTTTCAAAAGAATAATTCATTAAATCAGAGATTCTCAAACTTTACTGTAAGTAGCATTTAAATGCTGATGTAATTGAAAGTTTTCTACTCACTAGAGCACCTGTCTTTACCCGGTTTCTAGTTGTTCAACATTCAACAATCATCATTATTAACTTTTTTTTACAAATTACATTGAAGACATCTGTTTAAGTCTTCAATGGCATTTGGAGGAATTATTGTAAGAACAAAGCTGATTTTCTAGATCTCTCAACCATCTACTGCTTTACCAATATATCATGTAAAAACATATGAAAGGTTTATATGCAGAATATTCTACAAAAATGTTCCGAACAATCCCACAAAATTTACTGCCAAAGTAAATTTTTCCAAGTCAAATGTTAAATGTAATTATTTACTGGTTTTTGAGGTTTTTGCAACAAAAAAAGAATCATAAAAGACTCTCCTAGTATCCCTGTGACATAAACAACATGCATATATTATTACACACCTTAAACAATTTAAAGAATACAAAAAAAAATAAAACAAATTCCTACTTAAATATGGAAAAAATGGGAAGACAGAAAGGTATGAAGAAATATGAAAAGATGATTTATGGTGAGACTGACAACAAAATGTTTAAGAATGAAATTGTATCATAAACTGTGGCGTTTAAATTATAATGTGGTAAAAGTTGTGTGCGTCTTAAACTAAACTAAATTAATTTGTGACAATATGCTGCACTCATAAACTTTTATAACACCACCTTTTACTCTATGCTTCTTCTTTCTTATTTCTTATTCACAGATAAGCGAACAAAAGGAGACAAAAGTCAAGTGAAAAACGAGCAGCATAGAAACGTATAATAATATCAATAAAAATAAAAAAAAGACATATATAGTTAATGCTGAATCTAAAACATCTGAGATACTTTGTATAACCACCTAATATTATTTGGGATGCTTGCTTCTTGTCACATTCAACCAAATGCAGGTATGAGATTTTCTCATATACTTTATTAGATGCGGAGTGTTTTGATATAAATTTTAAATGAACTTACTCATAGCATCACTCTTCATCATCCTAGCTGGTTTTATCTCTTAATTTTATTATGAGAATTTTCCTATTTCTATTATCTTTTCTTGTGTTTATGCTCTGATTGTTACATCACGTTTAGAAGCCCGACAAACGACGCGATTCATCATCATCGCGTCTGAAGAAAATATGGCGCTCACCAAAACAATCAGCATCGAGCGCAACAAGCGATTCTGGTGGAGAAAACTCAAATTCATTAAGACGAGAATCAAAAAATACGATTCAATTGGCACCGAGTGGTTGCAATAATAGTAATAGTCAAAAAGTAGCCTGTTCATTGCCTTTATTGCAAATATGGCCTAGTCAAGATAGTCCGAGAGGTGAAGCGGATGGATCATCATTTGTTTTCTCTGTTATATCCGATGACACTGTAAGTATCACATGATAATCTCTTTGGGACCATAGGAAAGGTCAATTAGTCACAGTATACATCTTTATCTCACATTACCTTTTTATAGATAAAGAAGCATAATGATGATACGACATTTATAGAATCACCATCAACGTCATTGGCTGTAAACATATGTCGTCGAGCGTCATTGACTGTTGAGCATGGTCAAGATTCGGGAATTGAATCCGTTCAAGCATCACCATCGCCTATAAATGCACAATCAAATCAGCCAATTATTGTAACTAGTTCTAGTAGTTTGAAGCAACAACAAACTTCCAATAGCAGTCCTACACCATCTGATAAGCAGCTACAGCAAAAACAGAGAAAGCTTTTACATCCAGATCATGCACGCATACAACGCCCTCCTACCTCGCCTGATAATGTAATTTTCTCCTCTTGCTTCCTTTGCATTTTTATAAAACACAATATTATTTTATATACGTGTATTTTTGCGATTGTGATTCTCATATTGTATGCTCACGTATATATGATCACTACTATAGCGTAGTATCGTGTTAAATTATTAATGAAATTTCCTTTATTTTATTTCCTTTGCGAAATTTAATTTAGTTCTATTTGCTCTTTGTTTTAGACATCCATTGAGGATATGAATGAATTTAGTAATGGAAATCTGTGTACGGCAAGCTCAAGTACAACATCATCCCAAACGTCTATTGCAGCAATTGGTTCAAATCATTTTAAACGTTTATCTGATCCGTGGCTACATCGACAATCAACGTCATCCAATAACGGCGGTGTACACGATGATGATCAAATGGAATCACAACGAAGACGCTCAACAGGACGTTATTCATTGCTGGATGCACTAGATTTAGAATATGCATTATTAAGAGCTGCTGCTCGTGGTAGTGTCGGTCCATATTCACTTTCTGAATCAATTCACAAATTAACATTTACACAATCACTTGCTTTTCCTGCACTAGCGAGAAGCATAACAAGTAAACGAAGACGTTCCGTTGAACACACACGACAACGACCATTAGATCCGAATGAGTCTGGATTAAATTTATTAGCAAAATTTATAACCGCTTGCGTTTTAGTATTGGTTAGCTTTTTAGTGTTTTTCATTGTATATAAATTTTCAACTACATGAGGTTTGCTCCTTCTGAACCCTACTGACACTGTGCTCGATGATGTGGATAATGATAATGAAACCGAATTGAGTAGTACCATTGTGAATGTGCAATCAAATTATAATAATCATAATAATATAAATCAATCCACATTCCTTTACAATGCTACATCGACGCACTTTGACTTTCAATTATATCAGCGAGCTTTGTTGAGACGTAATCAAACACTCGCTGAGGGGTTCAGAAGGATACACAATATGACATATAAGCCCTAATCAAATAAGCTGTGATTATACCATTTCGGCGATTAAAACAAAAATGATTATTGAATGTAAAATTAATTAAAAATTCGCATTCATTTAAATTTTCTTGTATCGAGAACCACAACCACAATGAAATTATAAATGAGATATTAATAATATTAATTATATACATCATATTATAATATTATATAGATATGAAAAAATTATACTGTAACTGGAAACAAACGAATTATAAAAAAAAAAACAATTGTGTGTATAATGACAAAAAAAAAGTTGATTGTAATGTAAATTAATAATTCGTCACTTAAAGTTACACGTTCAAACTTTCTATCTTTTTGCCCCCCTTAAAAGAATACCACATAACATATTCAATTATATACCCAACAAAATGAATAATTAAGAATTATAAAAAGACATTATTTTTAACTTTTTTGTCCTTTTCCTTCCATAACATATCAGATTATATCCTCTAATTTTTTTGTCTATTTCATTTTTGATAAAGCAAAAGGCATTAAACTTGTGTAATTTATAAAGCTTGTGAATCATAAAGAAGAATTTTTCTTGCCTAAACATTTGTTATATTTTAAGATTATTCTTAATCCTACAAAGAATAATGTAAGGAATAAAGTGTAGGTACACTTTCTCATTTCTAATTACAATTTATATCTTTGAGTCGTGACTTGGTAGGAAATATATGTACATTAGACTCTTGTCTATGATATCACATTGCATACAAAGATTTCTTGAGAAATACGAGATGAGTTTTCTATTTTTGGTCAGTTAATGTCCCTTGAAGTCATTCCATATTGATGACAGACGTCTGTAAAAGTTTAATTCTGTTCGGAATCTTTTTGAAGCATTAGTAGTTTGAAGATGGGACCACTTCAACTTGATATGATAAACTTTTTAAAAGGTTGAATGCATAGTAAAATTTAATTTAAAAGTTTTGAACTTTGATAAAAAAAAATATAAAAGGCATGAAATTTTCAATTATTGAAAGTAATTTTTAAAATAGTATGAATTCTGTTTACAACCTATGAAAAACAATTTGAGTCTATAAATCTTGGAGTTTTTGAAAATAAAATTTTCAAATTCTTCAAAATGATTCTTTTGTTTTTTGCAATGGATAACAATGATTTAACTCCAAAATGACTTTTCGATTGAAAAATACTGATAATAAAGTTTAGTTTTTCTTTGGAATATTTAAGAAGTACCTACACTTTATAGAAAAGCTAAGTCATTAACACTTATGATTAATTTTTAAAGAATTTCAAACGAAGAAAAGAAATTCTTCAAAACTAGATAAATACTTTATCGAATAATATCAAAAATTGTTGTAGTTCCCGTGATATCAAACTACTTTAATTGAAATTCTAGAGATTAATAATGAGTGTTACTATTTTGAACAAAATAAACTCAATTTTAAAAAAATCATTGATCATTCCAAGTATTTGAAATATGACTTTTAAGCAAAATTCTTTGAGTTTTCAATTTCAATTGGTTGTTTTAAATTGAAAATATCTCAAAAACTTACGTTTATTGATATTCATATGTTTACAAATTGACATTCCCGAGCGGCACAAAGGCTCCATTTGCCTTCCATATGGAAGCTATACGGAGCCTCCATGTTCCACCCTCCATTTGAAAATCTTCCGAAAAACTTACTATCATGGAACTTTGACGGAGCCAAAGCTCCGAAAATCCTCCGTGGGACGTGCATTTATTAACACCAAATGGAAGTCATTTGAGAGGTTTTGATGGAGGATGGAGGATCCATTTGTGGTAGTCAAACGGAGGTTTAATGGAAGTATTTTTCAAAGGATTTTTGGTACGATTTTCCACGTGTTTTTCTATGTTTCGCAATTTTTATATCAAGATTTGTAGCTGTATTAGTGGACTTAATTAAAGTACACTAACACTATTGAAAAATTTACAACTTAATTTAATTAAGTCGCAACCATAGCAATTTCTAAGTCTCGATCACACGCGTGAGAAACATAAGAAATTATTAAAAATTTTCATACAAATTAAACGACCCTATATAATAGTGATTTCTGCATGCGCTTGTGAAGTATGTAATTTCATACAAAATCACAAAAAATTATCCTTTTTTGCTTTTTTAAAGCTTGAAATGAAGCAATATGATTCAGTAAAGCTTTTCGACAATATTTCAATCCATTACAGTAAGATCTGACCTTTGTCTTTTAAAAATTCAAAAGCACGAGTTTTTCGGTATTTGATTTAAGAAAAAGCGGAGTTCATATGGAATCCAAATGGAATCAATATGAAGGATGAAAAAATAACCCTCCATTTACTTTCCACATAGTGGAGGTGGCTTTCATATGGATTCCATATGGAGACCACCCTCCACCTTGTGCCGCTCGGGATTACAACTACTAAGAATCTTAATGTGTGCTTATTAAAGTGATATGAGATCAAATGAAGCTTTTCTATTTAATAAGTATTAAAATTTGTTTTTGTTTCCATTCACCATAAAAGAAACCAAAAGTTTTGCTTCAATCGTCAAAAATCAAATACTAAAGCCCCAACCCTATAACGAAAAATAAATATATTTGGGGAAAAATAAGAAGATTACAATATAAACCTGTTGACTTTTCTAATGCGCCTTCTATAATCATTCATATATGACAAAAAAAAATATGAGAAATCTTTTTATAATGTTAGATATATATCTTATGAAAAATCAAGCATTCTATCCTTTATTGGCCACAAATCTCTAAAGCAAAAAAGAAATCAAGAAATGAAATTATTTATTATGTAAATGTATATAAAATAGTATTTCTATTTCACTCACTCATATAACGATGAAAATATAATCGAAATAATAAATTGACGATAAAAAATGGTTCTTTTTTTGACTTTTTAGATTTTAAGATTTTCAGCTAAGAAAGTTTTGAAGATTCATGCTTCCAAATGATTATTTTTTGAAATAAAAAACGCAGAATTTTCAGATCTGATATCCTTTGTTGTTGTAATAAAATGCTCCAAAGAAGATAAACACAATTTAAGAGTGTTCAGACTGTTAGCAGACTGTCCTTTGGTTATTTGTTAACATTGCCAGTTTCATAAAATCGACTTTAATACAATCATATGATAACTTGACTTTATATTGCTGTAAGTAAGAATATTCGCAATCGTCCTGCAACAGTTTAATTCTAACAAATTATGTGTATCAAAAGTTAACATCCAGTATTTACAACATCAATCAATTTGTATTTATTTTCTCATTCAACAACAATAAACATTTTGTATTCATTTTAATGTTTACACTTACAAATCTAAATACATGATATTACTAGCACTTATTGCTCCACAGAATGCGAGAAATGCAGCAGTAGAACATACAGCAGTTGTGGTTTGATAGAAAGAGACTATTTGTCCCATGAAGCATGATAGAAGGAATTGAGCAAGGAACACCATTGATGAAACTTTATAAAAATATAATAATTTTTAAAAACTAATTCAAATGGATTAGACATTTTTTTACCTATTGCAACATCCGTTCCAATGCCTCTGCTCTCAGCTGAATATTTAGATTCTCCTGTTTCAGAAAGCTCAAACTGAGGTTGAATGCCATGATAAATCGAGTGTACATGAAAATTGTAGAAAAGGAAACGAGAAAATGGTTTTATGTAGCATCATAAATCATCATTCTATTGGGTGCTTCAAAAAAATAGGAGACTCTTCATATTTTTGGAATAAAAAGGCTGTAAATGATAGACATGAGTTATTGCCTTTTTACAGTGTCCCGTATTGAAAATGAAATCTATTCTCATGTGATGTTTACATAAAGCACAAACTTCCATTCAGATGTATTTAATGATAACACATCAACTTATTCCTTTCAGCACATATCTTAAGATATCAGAAATTTATGATTGTCCTCGAGCTTATTAGAAAAGGCTTTCTCATGAGAATCATGAAAATTTATGCACTTGATATCATCTATTTCAGAGTTATGCATTTTATGTTAAACATCCTCAAATATTTTGTTGTATTTTATGTTTTCCGGTGAATTTACTATGTAAACGAAGTTACTAGGGGGACAATAGACTATGAGCAAAATTGACATAATATCACGTTATTAGCAAAAATATACAGCCTTACGTTATTCAAAAAGCTACTGTCTCCCTGCAAATTGCATAAATAAAGGGTTACTGTACAAATAAATAATAAACTCACAATCCCTTGTGCATGATAATGGGCAACAAGTAAGTATGGCATCGTAAATAATGTAGAATACATAACACCCGCACCCCAACTGAAAATCAAAACTCCTAATTTGTGTTTCGTTAGTGCCATTAGTGTCATCGATAAACTATAAAACAATAAACCACCGATATAAACTCTCTTTGCACGAAATCTCCAAATGAGTTTCTCAATGATGAGGGAATAGCAGGCGCATGAAAGTGAATACATTGCCATTCCGAAACATCCGAATCGTACGCCTTCCTCATAAGCATTATATTTTGTTGAGCCATATGCAGCCTAAAGATACATTTTTGGAAAAAGAGGAAATTAATGGAAAAAAAAAATTAATTAAAAAAACTGTCAAAAGCAATAAAGATTAAATGGATTATAAGAACAACAAAAAAGAAACTTTCCTTTGGATCTCCTTCAAAAACACTTTCGCCGACGAAATCCGTGAAATATAGACTATAGCATACATGCGCTGACCAGCAGAAGAAATTTGTTATACAGACATTTTGGAGTGATCGTGGCATATGAATAATGGACATGAGATAATGTGATAATGATGGAACAGGCTCCTCATGATGAATTACTTTGGGTTGAGATGAGTTATTTGACGTAAATGAAGTCTCAGCAATATTTTCACCCGGCAATGATGAATATCCTTCATTAACTTTACCCAAATTCAATGTTAAACTCTTCTTCCTCTCATCTACACTGACCGTAGTCTCATCTTTCTCATTCTGTTCATTATTTTCCATTGTTCCGTACGACGACGTTGCTGGACCTCGTTTATCGTCATCTCCATTGATTATTGAAAATGATTCGAGCATTGCCAATGGAATTTCACGAAAACTAGTTATTGTCACTGTCACGCAGATTATGAAAATGAATGTAATTAATGTAAATACAGCCCGAACATGTCCACCCAACATTATTCCAATTTTTGTTGCATCCCAATTAATACCGCCAAGAGAATATCCCATTGCTCCACCAAGTCCAGCCATTATCGTAAATGTTGATAAACCTCGTGCATGATCGTCCGATTGTGTCACATCAAGTAAATAAGCTCTAGCTGGTGATTGACATGCATCAGCATCAAAATCTAATAATACTGTTCCCAAGATCGTAAAGAATATGCCCCAAGAGTGCGACGAGCTTTCAGTTGTCAACATTTCCGTAAACTCCTCATCGGAATCAATTGCTGTTGTTCGATGAGGAAGGATTTTATTTGTTTCCGTTGTATTTAATGAAATTGTCTCATTAATGAAGTCAGTCGAATAGAAATCTCCCATACAGTAGCCAAGATATTCGCCATTCGGAACAAGTATAAGACCCAAAAGGACACCAATCGATAGCAAAATAATGAATGGACGTCGTCTTCCCATGGGATGGTTGCATCTATCACTTAGTGATCCTAAGAATGGAGTGAGAAAAAATCCAATAAGGGGTGAAAGTGCCCAAACCAGTGTCATGTGTTGATGTTGAACTCCAATTTTCAGTAATGTCGGTGATACAAATGCTGTTTCAGATGCGTATGCAAATTCAATACCCATAACACTGGCACTTAGTCGAGTCAATTCGCTCCTCGTTTTGCGCCTACACATATATCCATATATACATTTTTATTATACATATTTTGTTGCACACATGAACGAAAGACAGAAAGCATAAAAAGAAAATGAAAACATCATGAAAATTTAAAGGATCAAAAATGCTAAATGAATACAATAATCGTAAAGTCACAGTGAAAATTTAAATTTATTGCGATTGTGTCCGGGAGATTATTTTGAATCATCAATAAAAGTAAATTCAATATACGCCACGTCCCTAGTATCAGCAAGCCGTTAAACTTATTGAATTCATTTAAATAATTCAATTCTATGAAAATGAATGCGTTAAATGAATGAAAATTTATGAGCCATTTAAGAACAGGGAGAAGGATTCTCAGGGAGGAAGTGAAAGAAGCGTATTTGACAAGATGATTGGGTTGGATAGATTGTTTGAGATTAAGATAATATAAAATTTGAGATTTATACTGCAAAGCTAGAGAATTGATAGAATTTTAAAGGGTTGTACCAAATGCTTTGTCTATACCAGTGTTGTCCAAACTATGTGCCGCGGCACACTGGTACACCATTTGGTACATTTTTGGTAATGACGCAAGCTACATGCTCTGTGCGACTTTGGTCATGGCTTACCCCTAAAAAGTGCCGTTGCTCAAAAACTTTGGACAACACTGGTGCTTTACTAGTGTGGGAGTAACTTGATATTTTTAACATTGCGAATTGTAACAAATTGTAAGATTCTGTTGACATTTAAAATATCTTAATCTAGCCAAACTGATTGCTAATCCCAATTCTACTATGAAATAATGCGCCAAATTAAAATGCGATGTTATAAAAGAGGTGGATAAGTTGAAAAAATGTGGAATTAATTTAAATGTAAGGCAAAAAATTCCAACATAAGTACCTTCTTGATAAATTAGCTCGAGACCATTAACGATAATTAATTTATTGTAAGTGGGGTAATTCACAGTAATTCAACTTACCTGTAGATGTGGGAAAAGTCATTATCCTTTCCGTTCTCACGACGACCCGTTGAAATGTTTCTTGCATAATTTTTCGTTAAATCAACAATATTATCACCGTCGTGAGTTTCACGCCAAGATGAGAGTTTTGAACGTAGATCGTCGCGTATTTCATGTAATTGACCCGACACACCTTGATACTCGTGAAGTTTTTCCATAATTCTTTATGACGATATCCACAATATTATTATTGTAATTGCTTATTAAACTGGTATTTTAAATTGAGTGATGGATGAGACTAATAATAGTGAAAGGCCTTCGATTTTCTTTTTATTCTTCCTTTCATTCACACTTCAAAGGTTTCATAATTTATATTTTTTTAAAGAAATATATGTAACAACCTTTACGTCAAATGATTTATTATGTTGAAAATTTTTAGGATACACTGAGCTTAAGATTGTAGATCGATAGAGAATATCTTGTAAATGTCCGAATGATAAATTAAATATTTTAAATTATTGAAAATTGCTTCCTATCTAGTTTTAGAGATCTACACGCTACCAACTACAATCGAAGACTGACAAGAATCAGAAAATAAAAAGGAATGGAATTGAAAAAGAATGTAGAAATAAATAGAAGGAAATAAATACATTTAAGGATAATTTAAGTAATGTCACATGTCGCATTGTTTATTTCATTCTAGCTTATATCGAACGAACCAACTTATTGTTTCCTTTTTGCTGCGACATTATTTGTATTTCAAGCCATGCCATTACATAAATGAAGCCTGTAAACTTTAGGGACTCTACGCTTTTTCACTGCCTGTCTCATTACTTCGGTCGTAATTTTTGTGAGCATTATAAACGGAAAAGAACTTTATTTATAAATTGTTTGTAATAATCTACCTGAAAGCATATTGCAAGCATACTGTAGATTGATGACGTACAATTAAATGTCACAGCTGAAAAGATATTTTACTCGAGTATTGTCACAATATAAAGACATAAGACTTTTTGACAAATGCTTCTTAATAATAGCAATAATAAGATGAAAATGTGGATGTCTGACTGTACATACATTGTGGAAAAGGAATGTTATGCATGAGAGCACTTTAGTTTGATATACTTTTTCCAAAAATTTTCATGAAGCAATTTTGAGCATTGATCAACATAAAGTGGTTTTTAAAATGTAAATTTTCTTCAATACTTGAATCTTTTGAAAAGCTCGTTTTAGAAGAAAGGGTTATTACGTTCGCATTTTAGGAGGGAGGGGGGGGGGGTGTAAAAAATTGTAACAAAATGTAACAAAGAGGGGGGGGGGGGGGGGTGCCAAGAAGTATGTAACGTTATAACTGTCGTCTGTCTTTTTAAAAAAAGTTCACATATGGATGTGGTACATGAACGTTCGGGGGGGGGGGGTTGTGAGTAACAAGAGGGGGAGGGGGGATGAAAAAAAGTCGTTTTTTTGCGTAACGTAATAAGTGAACGGCCCCAAAGCTAAGTCTGGGAAAACACGATTAAGCTAAGCCAAAATTATGTTCTTTTTAAGTATCTTTCATTTTCTTAAGAAGGATTTAAAACTTTAAAGCTACATTCCACTTTTAAATTAAGCAGCTTTTTTAATGACGTGCCAACATTAACAATTCCTTTGAGCGAAACTATCAATTGATAGCAAAGCATTTAAAAGAATGAAACAGGAACAGTTTCCGTTGTTTTACGTCCGTGACAGTTTTCATTTCGAAATAATTAATCAATTGCCAATTAAAATGCATTATTCGTCCAATTATCTCCGAAATAGGTAGTTCCTTATTTATTTTTCTCATTGATTGAGAATATTTTGTGCAGTGAATTTAATTATTTGTGGATTAATTTATTCTAGTGATATCCTACTATTAATTATAATGAACATTGACCAGAACGTTATTTGATAGTGAATTAAAGTGTCTTAAGAGGATTTTTATTGTGAAATAAATCAAATTATCAATGCAAAAAGTGCAAAATTTAAAGTGACAATTAAGTTAAATTTTATTTTCTAAATTTGTTTCATCACGATTCTATAAATAAATCGCATGAAAATAGTATTATTCTGTTTATTCGTAATCAATTGAAAACGCGAGTTGCATGCACGGACGGAATCAACCAAGTTCAATGTGACATCATCAACAAAATCAAAACTTCCGGATTCTTTGATCTTTTTTTTCTCTCTTCGTTCGTTGTCTATCAATATTCGCATGTGCGTGCCTATTTGTGACTGAATTAAGTAGAGAAATAGAAAAAGAAATCAAGTAACAGCTGATTTGATCAACTAGTGATTCATTTATGTCCTTCGTTAGCCAAATTGTTTGTTTACTGTATCTTTTCTGTAATTATAGTTTGTTGCAAGCACAAGTTGCATCTAATTGAAAGAAAATTAACAAGTATTTCCTCAAAATCAAGATACAGTCAATAGATTAAGTTCAAGCAAAAAGTTCAAGAAATTTAATTAAATTATCTTGGTATTATAAGTCATTTTTACTCGTCTATTTCTACTCTACATTTAATCCTTTTTCCATAAATAATCACAAAAAAAAAAACTCAACAACTTAATTATCAAACTGGATCATCCATCGGAAATTATTCGTGCCGTTGGTAAAATAGATCAAAGGAAGAAAGAAAAGGAAGAAATGACATTAGATTTTCTAGATGATACTCAAGTCGAGTATGAGCAAGCAGTGTCACAGACAAAATTTGGGAAATTCCATTTCTTCTTGCTTGCTGTGTGTGGACTAATCTATTTAAATACTGCTGTCGGCATAACAATAATATCGTTTGTACTTCCTTCGGCAACATGTGGTGAGCAACATTTTTATTGATATTTGCAATTGAATTCAATTTAAGTGTACATCTATGTATGAATTTTATTTTAGACTATCGGATGACATCTGTTGATAAAGGTTCGTTGAGTTTCTCTCAAGCTATGCCAATACATTGTAATTTATAGATTCGATTTTTTTGGTCTATTGGCACACTCTTCATGTTATTTCCATTAAATGGAATTAAATTACATTATCAATTTAATAGGATGGTTAACGGCAGCTCCGATGTTGGGGATGGTTCTTGGCTCATATTTCTGGGGATGTCTTGCAGATACAAAAGGCCGAAAATACGTGCTGATCATATCATTGTTACTTGATGGAATTTGTGGCATTCTCTCATCAATCTCACAAGTTTATGGATTATTTATATTTTTTCGATTTTTGAACGGTTTTGGGTAAAAGCACGTCTATCGATTTATCAATTTATTTAATATTATTAATTTGCATTAATTTAATATTCATGTCCTTTAATCTTAGCATTACCGGTGCAATGGCAATTTGTTTTCCTTATCTTGGCGAGTTTCAATCGACAAAATATCGTGAGAAAATTCTATGTTGGATGGAAGTTTTTTGGACAATTGGAATAATCTTATTGCCATTAATTGCGTGGCTTATTATTCCATTACATATTGATATTACACTTTTTGGAATCATCAAATTTCATAGTTGGAATCTTTTTGTCGCAATATGTGCCATTCCGAGTATCTTAATTGCAATTTGGCTCTTCTTCTTCCCTGAAAGTCCAAAATTTCTTATCGAAGTTGGTGATGCAGACGAAGCTCTTGATATCTTAAAAGACATTTATCACATGAATACAGGACGACCAAAAAGTGACTATCCAATTAAATCATTGAAAGAGAAAGAACGTGAAAAGAATAATCAAAATCTGGCAGTTCCATCGTTGAGGTCATTAAATTTGAGAAAACCTAAGCATCTTAATATTCTACTTAAAGAAATATGGGAGCAGACAAAAGCATTGTGTAAAGCACCTCATTTGAAAAATACAACACTTACATGCGCCATACAGTTTGGCTTAACAGCTTCATATTATACATTGATGATATGGTTTCCTGAACTTTTTTATCGCTTCGAAGAGTACGAGGCTAAAAATGGCGATGCAGAAGCATCTGTTTGTATCGTCAGCAGCATTGTGTTGAGAGAAAATGAAGAGTTTTGTGGAAATCCAATCGATAATGATGTTTATTGGCATACTGTGATCATCGGTCTATCATGTATACCTACAAGTCTTCTCCTGCCAGTCTGTATTCATCGTGTAGGTGCCAAGCTTTTTATATGTACGTATCCTCTCATAAATATTAATTTTTTTTAATCTCAATTAATTGGTACATTGCACATCATAAATGAATACATAATTGATTGAAATTGTTTCGTTTTATAGTTTTTAGTCTTGTACTTGCTGGAGCTGCCACAATTGGATTATATTTCGTTAAAAATGCAGCAGAAAATCTTGTACTCTCATGTATATTTGAAGCATTAACATCGCTTGGAATCAGCACTGTTTATTGTGTTATGGTCGATTTATTTCCAACAAATTTACGAGTTATGGCAGCAGCATTAAGCTTAACGTTTGGGAGAGGTAAATACAATTTATTGTGCATGTATTATGCTTCTAATATATTATAATATAATGAAAGCAAACTGGATGAATATGTGGACTGAATTTAAATTACAAATCGATTCTGTGTGTAAATTTAAAAGCCTAATTCTAAGTACTTATACATAATTTTATTATTTTCTAGGAGGTGCATTAATAGGAAATCTGCTATTTGGATTTCTCATCGATTTAAATTGCGTTGTTCCAATTATCATCTTTTCTGCATTGCTTTTCAGTAAGTTTAGTTTAATTTATTTTATTATTTCCTCATTTTATACATTGTTGCTGGCAATCAGAGTCGTTAGCGTTGAGAAATTAAGCATATCTTTTTGTGCAGTTATTTTGAGCTTATCAATTGACTGTTGAAGTTCAAAATTTAAAATCTATAGTTCAAAAATTTTTCATTGTTGAAATTCAAAATTTTCTAAACCGTTAAATTTTGAATTTTCTGAATCCGTTACATTTTAAATTGCTAAAAGGGAGACAGCAAGTTATAAGTTTCAAAAAGTCATTAAGCACATTCTCTTGCGAGCAAAAGTGCACCACCACAATGTGAATCTTTGTCGCTTCTCTCACCACCTCAAACTATTTATCATTTTAAATTTCTCTTCTATTCGCATTACTCTTACATCCTCTAATTCCTTATTTTTTCTTTTCATCTTATTTAGTAAGCGGTATTCTTTGTCTCTTTTTACCGTCAACGGGAAGAGAAGCTTTAAATTAATATGCAAATTACTCAGAATCTTTTATGCTAATGATTTTTTTGTAAATACTATCACAATTGGATTATGTTCCTGTTTGCTTCTTTAGAAAATTGTTTCCTTTTTTTCTATCGTCATGCTCATTAACATCACAAATTTTATATACTGTGTATGCACAAAATTTTTCGCAATGCAATATCCTCATTAAAGACTTCTGTAACATTATCATATTCTTTATGCTTACTCATAAATTAATTATTTATTTATTATATCACAATTATAATAAGAAAAAAATGAGAAATACATTTTTGAATGAATAAAATGCAAGTTTGGATTAAGTTTAAAGTTATTATTTTTATGCTTAATGTTCTACGATAAATAATGTTGCTGCTGCTGTTGTGATATCAGTTGTGAATTTAAATAATATATTGTTGATGGCGGAAGAACGGGATGATGTTGCGGTTCTTGATTTATCGTATAATTTTGATAAAATGTATTCCGATGTGCAATTTTAAGCTTTGATGACATTTGTTTTTTGTATTTTGTTCGGCGATTTTGAAACCTGTGATATAGGATCATTCATGACAATAAATTTTATGTTAACATTTATTATTCACGCTGTTTTTATCGCGAGTCATTTCGAGGATGGATGACTAAAGCGTTTTTTAATCAATTTCATTGATGCAGGCATTGATGACTTTATTGAGGGTGAATTTAAAATAACGATTTTTTAAAATTCAAATTTTAACGTTTAAAATATTTTTGAAAAACATTTTCTACAATTCAAAATTTTGAAAACTGTTATTTTTTGAATTTTCAAAAATCGTTATTTTGATTCTTTAAAATTGTTTAACGGTCATCATCAATTAAGTCATCTAGCTAGACACCACATAACAAAACTCACCACGTTTTTATTTGTACTTCAGTTAGATTTAGAATTTTAGATAATTCTAGCCTCTTGCTCACTGACAAATATTTATCATTTTTAAATTCATTTTCGAGCTTCTCCAATTGACATTGTGAATACGCTTGACGCGGTTTCCTATCGATTCCCGTCTTTCTCAGCCTCATTTTTCCCATTAATAATCGCTGTTGTGCTATTAAACATATTTAACAAGAGAGAGAAAAAAAGAAGGGAATATTTAACACATTTAAAACTTGTATTTAACTTTATATCAGTTAAAGTGATAATTAATTCATAATAAATAATCACTTTTCGTATAGTCGTTGAATGTTTACTTAAGATTTTAGCACCTATTTAATATTCATTCACTCACTCGAGACTAAAAAGCCGTAAAGTAACAACTTCATTTTCCACTGTTGAGGACTTGATTGATTGATTGATTTGTTTAGCATTTATAATATTTTCAAGGCATTAATTACGCTTTTCTCTATGGACTTTACTGTTTTGTGTACTTATGAAGAATTTAATTACCCTGTTTTTTCGTTATAAGCTAGTAGCTTAGAAGAATAAAAAAGTGATTTTTTTGGATCACTAGTAGCTTAGTAACGAGTAGTAGCTTAGTAAAGAAATTGAACTTCAATGAAAATTTTGAATTTTTTTAACTTAATTAAAGAAATTTTGCTATCTTCTCGATTTTATTTCATTGACAATGTCATAAGACATTGAAACTGATACTTAAAAAGTTGAAAAAGATTGATTAAACTATATTTTTGGTAGTAGCTTAGTAAAGATTACAAAAAATTTTCAAGTTCAAAAAAACTTTACTAAGCTAGTAGCTTAGTAACGAGTAGTAGCTTATAACGAAAAAACAGGGTACTGATATTAGAAAACCGTTACATAAAAATTCAAAATTAAACTACTTGAAGTTGGTTGCATTTTTAAAATTTTAAAAACCGTTAAAAGTAAAATTAATTTGAGTCAAATTCCATTGATGGCTTTGCATTCCCTCAAATTAACCCACAAAACCTTAATGAGTAATTCCATAGAAAATCTCAAGGGAGGCCTGAATCATCAATGTTCATTTTGTGCCATTTTGTGCTGTATACCAGCAAAACAATAAAGTAAAAAGAGCTGAAAACATTTTATGGATATGAGAAATGTCCACAGTAGGAATAAACATTTAAATGTTTCATCATTCAATTTACAAATGAAATGAGGCACAAGATCGTAATTTTCACTCAACAGTGCACATCCACAATTTTCTACAAATCTCGTTATTGTGATTTGTGGACACAATAGTTTATCACATTTATGAATGGAATATTCAGTCAATAATCTCCTCTATTAATAATTATCCGATTCTCATTAGTGGACGTGCGATGAGGCTTTAATATTATTATCATCATCATTTTATGGAACGTGAAATTTGCAAAATTTTCCTATTTACCTTGAAAATTGAAATTTGTATCTAACCAGTTGCGATAAAATACATTTGGTTCATGCTGGTGATAAAAAGCTGTATCGGGTGATAAAATGACATCTACAATTACAGAAAAAGGCAATAATAAAAGTTAATGATTCATCATTATTTGATTAAATTTTATTGTGGACCACAAAATTTTGGATGTTATAAAACGGACAGTCACAGAACATTTATCACATTCCGGATGATGTGGATTAGATATTATAAAATCCAAAATGGAAGTTCTTAAAAACTTCGTCATATTTAAATTATTAAGTTCTTATTTTAGGAAAGAAGGTTCGGTTTGATTTAAAGATTCATTCACTGGTTTAAAATTTCTATTGAAATCTACTTGAACTGGGAATAAGATTGTGAAAGATTGAGAACTTTGAAAAACTCAAAAACCCGATGTACGACAGTTAACAGGAGGTAGAACAATAGAAAACCAACAGGATAATTACTTCAACATTTAGATTCTAGATTATGAATTATTTTTGACAAAGTTTTCGTTTTGAGAATAGCTAATCATTGAAGAAAGATATAAAAGATTTAAAGAAATAAATTCTTAAGGATGAAGCAATTTGCATGAAACTTTCAGTTGAAGCGCTGCTAAATGGTTTGGAAACTCTTGAAAATATGTCAACTGTCGTTAGAGTTGCAACTTAAACTACTAGGAATCTGTTTTTGAACTCCGTAGAATAAACATTTGTCTTATTTATTAAATCCATAAGAGATCGGAAGCATCTAATTTTTGAGTTTCGATTCTTACTTCCCAGAATAAAGATGACCAACTTTCTGAAGCTTAAAAGATCTTTCCATACTACAATGATAGAATCAATCAATCAAAATTCACAAAAACAATTAAAACTTCTGCGACGGTAAACTTAATAAGATTCTTATTGGATTTCTAATAACTGTCCAATTTTCCATCCAATAAAACTGCAATTAACATTAATCCACGTTATCATCACTCATACTCACCTTTTCTGCTGCAAAAGTCAATCAAATCCAATCGATTAGATTTTGCGATGTCATCATTATGAGAATTGAGTCCTAAAATTGATTCTATTGAAAATTTATTACACATTTTTGTCGACATTTTATTGTCATCGACTTTTTCTGATTGCTCAATTTTCACACACTTTCGATTGATTTCATTGTTGTTTGGCGTTATGCTATCAATCTCCATTATTGCCGCTAATAAAGCAATAATAATGTTCAACACAAAAAACAAGAAGGAACAAGAACAAAAAAAAATCACCACTCGACGCCTCTAATCTAGTCGACAACGATTTATGAAATGTTTTATGGTTTATCAGAGATTTCTTACTGATGATGCTGCTTACTTCTACCGCTGTTAAGTATTAATGTATAAATGTATGATATAAATGATGGTGATGATGATGCACGCCCTCAGTTAACAAGGTGTTAAAAAGAAAGGAAAGCAAAGTAAGCATGTACAATGGATATATCTATCTTTTTTCAACTGTAGCCGGTAAATCGCTGAGAAAAAGACATGTGGTTATGGTAGCATGATGTATTTTCGTGTTACTTAAAAGGTTTTAATGCTATAAAAAATTATGAATGAATCTTCACTTGGCATCTAACAATGAAATGCTTGCTTATTACTTGATTTTTACTCTCGATGCAGCCATTCTTGTATATCTATATAACAATCCGTGTAGATATCTTACGTACTACAATAGAGAAAGTATGAATGTGTGCAGTCATCAGACAATCATGTTGGAGAGCATTTTTCTCTTTCTTGAGATTTAGGGCTGTAACTGACTATGCAGACTGTATGTTAATCTCTTACTTTAATGACAGTTAAAGTGAAATAAAATCTATAGAAAATAGGATTCGAATCTTAAAAGTTCAATATCAGGATCTTTGATTTTTGGTCGATTTCCAGCATATATGCTAGTTTTGTCAGGTAGATGTGTTCAGAAATCAAAAGAATCTTATCTTCCCGATATAATTCTAAATTCAAATTTCTGAACGTATCCATTAAGTTTTGTTTTGTTGAAAAATTGGCAATTTATTAACAAATTAACGTTCTAAACTGCATCCAAATCTCAATTACAATGATTATAGTTTATTAAAGCATGACTATAACATTCAAATCATTTACTTCTACGTAAGCTTTACAATCGAAATCATCTTTAAATGAAACTTCTAAATCTCCTCACAGAAAACCTCTCAAACTATAACGAATTAATATTTAAGAACTTAAGACCCAAAAATTTCAGCATTTTATAATGTTATAAGCCAGACTTTACTTAGTCCAATAATGATCACATAGTGTCATAAAACTGATGTTTCAAGAATTATTCTAAACTCTAATTCAGATCATCTCGAATGAAACATGAGAAATAAAATTCAAATCCACAGAAACAGCAAAGAACATCGTTAAACAAACTTGGTTATTACACTGGATTAAAATAAGTCTGTGGCAAAATGTCAATTTATATAAAATAATAAAAAAAAACTTCATCATCCGAGATTAACTTCAAATCCAACAAGCCAGAATTAGTGCAGACTTATCCCTTACAAATCTATTTTGTCACAATTTCCTTTCATTTATGCAAAATCACAAGCACATTAATAAGGAGAGACAAAGTGTAAATCTAAATCCAAAAGTCCTTCCAAGAAGATTGTATCAAAAGGAAAATAAGAGCAATGATGTGATAATAAAATAAACCACTTAAACGCAACCATTAAAAGGATTCACCAGAAAAAAAACATGACAGGTTTATTTTTCTTCTGCCATGCCATAGCACAGCATAGCATACCTACCCCTCCTAAACATTTAAGAATATTACATTCGCAATATAATAAATAAAAATAACATATAAATTGTAGGTTCGTTTGTTTGTTGGAAGTGCTGTTATTGTATAATATTTTCATCTCTCTATGCGTCTACAACCGACGATTGAGTGAGTGTTATAAGGACGAGTGCGTAATTAAGTTACATCCTGATGATTAATTGATTGGTTTTGATTTCAACTTAATAAATCAAATGGAACAGAAATATTTTAGTATATTACTAGGGTGACCATCTGCGTAGTTTTACAACGGACAGTCCTGTATTTCAAAACCCTGTCCTGTATAAATTTTTAAATTTTGTTCCTGGTCCTGTATTTTTTTCATGAAAGTTTCCATTAATTTTCGAATTTTACTCTATGTCCTGTTTTTTTCGAAAAAATTTACCAAATGTCCTGTATTTTCATGAAAATTAGATGGTAACCCTATATATTACGTTCAATTTACACATTTACTCACTCAATCTGACAGTAATCGATTGATCGGTAATATACATTTATTGAGTATCTCGTAAGCATCTCTCACGCTTGCTAATTGTTATATCTCAACTGGTATGAAAAAAATATTAATTCCATAAAAACAATTAGCTCAAAATAAAAATGTCTGTGTTAATTATTTTTGATTCTGTTGGCACGCGATACATCCTTAATTAAATTTATAGGAAATAGTTGAGATGATGATTTTCGGTCTGACGGTTCATTCACTTATGACCAAGGCGTAGAAACTATCCCAAAAATATTTAAAACAATCCCTGAACCTGTATGCATTAGAATTGAGATATCCCATCATATCCTGAAATTACACGTCCAATACACTAAGGATACGTTGGGATATCTTTTTTATCGTGCATATTTGGGATAGTTTCCACGCCATGCTTATTACAGCCGATATTAACGGTCATTTTTCAAAAAAGAACAATGGATTTTAAGGAATTTCTATTGTTCTTTTCTTTCTGACTCCCCACCCCCTAGACGTCATAAGTAAACGGTCTCTAAGTGTGCCAATAGGATTTAGTATATTTTAACTGATAAGCCTTTTACGTTTTATAGATAATAGGCCAGAAGTGTAGTAAGAAATGATTGTCTTGGGTAATCTGGGTTCATTTAGGGCAGTTTTTCTCAAACTGTGAGCCACGGTACAATAGCATCATCAAAAAAACGTCAAGTAACGGGCCGTTCACTTATTACGTTCACATTTTAGAGGGGAGGGGGGTTTGAAAAATTGTAACATAGGGGAGGTGTCAAGAAGTATGTAACGTTCTAACTGTCGTCTGTCTTTTAAAAAAAAGTTCACGAAAAAAATTTGTTGTGTCCAATAATAATAACAATAATATGAATAAAGAAAAACTATGATGAATTATGAATAAAATTTAAATGTTCTTAATAACTACATACCTGTAAAAAATTATCCAAAATAAAATAAATTATGAACGTTCAGGGGGGGGGGGGGGGGGGGTTGTGAGTTGTAACATATTGTAACAAGGTGGGGGAGGGGGGGTGAAAAATGTTTTTTTTTGCGTAACATAATAAGTGAACGGCCCCTAAGTCATTAACAGAACAAGTTTGAGGAATACTGATTTAGGAAATCCTTCAAAGTAGATATAAAAATCTTTGAGCAACTCCCAGTTCAATAACATTTAGGAACGATTTCTTAAAAAGTACATCCTTTAAAAAACATTAGTACAAAGTCCCTTAGCACAACCTCTCCCTTCCTTAACAAAATTATCCGGATGCCATACTTTGAACAAGCTTTTCTATCTCCTTTAATTTCCGCTGCCTACTTTTCATGTAATAAATTGCTTGATAGCTCCTTTTTGTTCACTTGCTTTTCAGTTTAAGGCATTCAAGGAGAAAGAAAAGAATTTCAACAACCCGCACTGGTTTCTCATTTTATTTTGTTATCATTAACTTTGATAAAATAAAATCTCTGTATTGTTTATTGTATGAATTGAGAGCACTTAAATGATAAGGAAATAGATTTATGTTGATTAATCACCTGCCCTGAACAATCGACCTGTAATTGTTTAAAATTCATTTTCGAATTGATTAATACAGATTTATTTTCGAGAATTTAATCAAGTTAATTAAAATAAAATAATCATTATTTTTTGATTGTGGTTATTAAATTGATTAAATTTTAAATTTTGATTAAATAGCTTATGTTGTACCTTTTGTGGTGGAACCTTAATTTGTACAAAATTTTGATTTATACCTTTGATGTAATTGTCACAAATCTACATACTCTGACTCTTCTGTTCCTAGTTTGTACCAAAGTTGGCAAACTTATGAAGGTTTTACAAACTCATTACTTTGTTGATGACTTTACACTGATTTGTAGGTGGCTCGTTTACAGAAGAACTTAAATTCCAAATAAATCTTACTTAACCTTCTAAATCGTTGATTCCATAGCAATCCTTTTAATACCCACAGATTAATACGCTCATTTTTTAAAACACTGTAAAATTATTCAATTGCTTCTTAAACCCTCGGAATTTTTATGATACAAAGCAGTAAAGCCTTAATTCCGAGAAAATTCTTTTTCTAAAATCTTCATCTTCTTATTTACAAGACTGATAATTTATGAAGATTTAATCCTTTAGCTGTAAAAAAAGATTTTTTTTTTCAATGTCAAATCAGAGAATTTAATGTGACATGAAGAAGATTTAATGTCCTATCCCAAAACTTTTCTGTAATTTAATTTAGAATCAATTTTGGAAGGATTTAGTCTATTATTCATAGCATAACGAATTCTGGGTTCACTTAAGTTATTGACTCTTTACTCTTTCTGTGTGGATCGTCTTGTGATTTGGTCCGTTTTGACACTTAAGGTGACATAAGCAGGATGCAGTTTCCATGTATATACTATGAATCAGGAGCACTTCTGTGAACTTTTAACTATTGATTGTTTATGAAAACTGTGATTTTGAATTCTTGCGAAGCTAATGTTTTTACATCTGGTCCAGTATTAATCTAGTCTTAAGTATCACATTAACTTGCTCGATCTTATTAACTTCTCGTTCTATTCTTAATTCTGCAAATGAATAAAATCAACAATATTAATCTTAAGAATCTACAAATTATAAAATGCAATGCAAGATCCAACAAAGAGGAGATTTGAAATCCTGGAACTAAAAACTGCTAAAAACTATTAAAACACAAACCACAAATTGTTAATTCTGAATTATTTTTTTAATCTATTATTTTATGTCATTTTATAATGTAAAAAGGTTTAGCTAGAATTATATGCTAAAAAATTGGTTTTGTCAGCTATAGCTTTAAAAAGGCTACCCTATCGTCTCTTCAACAAACTTCCAACATTAAAACTCAATGAAAAATAGCTAATTATAATAATTATCATATATATGTAAGTTAAATATTACAATTTAAGTATAAATCGAACTACAAATAAACGTGTTGACTGTCGCGCAAATAACGCGTCAAGTCAAGTTGATCATTTTTAACCAAAAAATTTTGTATACTTAATTGTCTTGGATGAAACTACATTTTGTGACAGTGATTAAAGATCCAAACACAAGAAAAAACCAGTCTGTGTAGCAAGATGATAAAACAAAATATTCCCTCGTAACTATGATTTTGAGCGCTTATCATAATATCAATGACAAAAATGCCCGACTTAAAGCTAACGATATTCTTAAAAAGATTTTTTTCCTTCCTTATTTTCAATCATGTGTATAAATATTGTTTTGTTACTTCAAAAGTAGCTGATAATGTAGAAAACAAGAGCTTTCTAGGTAAGTAAAATCGTTCCCAAGCATCCAAAATAGCCTATAAATAAAACAGAAAGAAAAAGGTTAGATAAGAATTTAAAGAACTTAATCCTTAATTTTTTATCGATTTAAATATGAGAAATTATTGAACGTTAATTAGTGTTTTCAAGACAGATTATCAAATTTTGATAAACATTTAAGGTTGCCAATGTCATTGCTTAGATACTAAATGACAAAAAACGATAAGCATGAATTTACAGTTTTTACCGGTTTTTTGGAATTCAAACTGTAACGGTTTTGTTAAATTCAACCCCTAGAAGTTCAAAAATTTTCAAAATTGAAAAATCCGTTAAATTAATGGAGATTAATATAACTAAGCTATGGAATTTCTGTCACAGTCAATGATATTGAAGCTCTAAGAATGTGCCGCCATAGCAACATTTTCCACAACTTCATAACTGAGGTGGATTCAGAATTCTCAGATTTTTCACATTTATGATTCAGATAATTAAATTCCAAAGAACCACATTGTGGATTATCACATGTCAATCAAAGCTGCACAAAAACTAATTGACGTCCAACAAAAAGTGCGCAAATAAAAATTAATTAAATTTATCATTTTACCTTCATGCTCCAAAAATAGAGCTTTCAGCGTATGATCTGACCAATAGTCCATTGCAAATGCAAGTAGCTTCATACTGATTGGATTTACACGCAAAAAGTTACCTACAAAGACGACCTAAAAAGACACAGGAGTAAAGGAATTGATATCATCATTATTTCAATAGTTCAATTATTATTATTAACTGAACATCATCCTACCTTATCAATTTTTTCATTCACTGCGCACATACGAGCTATCAGGCCAATATTGTTCGTGATTGTTACTAAAGTGGCATTTGCTATAATAATCATAAAATCAATAAACAGAATGAATATATAGAGAGATTAGAAATACAGCTATAGTTTCGAGATAATTAATTAATTTACCTAAATCTTCTCGTGTGACACTCACTCGACGCTCTTTCGAGTTCATTTGTCCAAAACTCGAAGCAACTAGACTTCCTGGGAGACCGAACCTCTCATAATCACCCCCATAAATATCTCTTACTAATTTATCAACTTTTGTGTGATCACCTTTTGTCGCAAGTTGAATTGCTGTAAAGAAGAACAAATTTTAATTAAGATTTATTGGATTGAGGAACATTTTATGTGCTGTTGTGCTGGCTATAATGGAATTTTTGGGATTAATTGAATAAACTTGTAAATATTTTTGTAAAAGTATTAGCCATTTATGAAATTGACTCTTGTAATTCCTGTCTATGGATGTAAAATTTATGGAAGTATTTCTCTTGTTTGGTTTAATTAGGATTTTAAACTATTTATGAACTTCATGTTTACTGTATAAAGGCATGTAAGCATTCTTATCATTTTCGATAAATATCTGAAGCTTTTCACCAAGTTTCGAGAAGGTTTCTTTACTCTTCGGTTGACTTAAATTTCCGTAAAACAATTCTGAATTCCACAAAAAATCACCGACCGATATATTAAAAAATAATGAAACCAAAAGTCATTTTTTAGCACATTCTATCTAACAGAAGTTTCGCAAAGATTAATTTAGCAACTGACCAAACAAAGCAGCACACAAAAAATCCCAATGACTAGGAATAACCCAGCACAACTTTTAAAATAATCTCATGACATTCACGGTCATGTAAAATGTTAATCACATTCTCTTACCTTCTTCAAATGTTGTACATCCAGTTAGCAGACTACAAAGTCCAAGGAATGTTCCACCGCCAAGACTTGTACCAGAAATTCTCTTATAATCATTTGCACCACGTACAGCTAATATACTCACACCACTACCAATATTGACTAATATAAATGGATACGGTTGTGAGAAATCAAATCGTGCCTTTTGACTTAAACTGATATCAGATATCACAATAATGAAATATAAGAAGAAGACGAGAGTGAGAGAGAGGAATAAAATTGATTAATTCGGTAATTCCTCAATTCTTATCGATAATCTGAGTTAAAGCTTATAATCTTGCTGGGAGATTGATAAAATAATCGATAAGGAACCTACCTAATATCACTTGCATTTTCGTAATAATAACATTCGGTTTTACATTGAGTATCAGCATAAAGAATGCCCTTAATAAGTGCATCAAGTTCGTCGAATTTCTTTAGTCGAATATTCACTTCCTATTTTCCAAAAAAAAAAAATAGAAATCTAATTAAATTTTTGCTTCCACTTCCCCACAATGCTGTCAACTTACTCGCTTGAACTCCTCTTCGAACTTAAATGCACCACCGCCTGTGGCACAAACTGTTGTTAGAAGTTTTGCCACTGAAAAAGAGTGAAGAAGTTCATTAAATAAAGCTGTCAATATTCATATCCTTTCGAAACTTATATCTCAATTCTATGTACTAAATCTACATCTGTCGATTTACTAAACTTTGTGTATGATTTAAAATAATGTTCATGTCAACTCACTTCCTTTTGACTTTGCTAATTGCAAAAACGAACCCATTTCGGCTGTCGGAAATCTAATGAAGTGCAATGTTCCTTTCTTGTTATGTATTTCCACATTGTCCATCTGTAAATGACATGTAGACATATTAAACATGCTTGTTATTTGATATAAAGGAGGGAAAAAAAATATTCAATTATAATGTGAGCGATGCTAATAAATGCTATACAGTTTGAATGTCACTGCAGATTGATCGTTGAAGCGTACTTTCAGTATAATTTATTAGATTTTGTATAGTCTCTAGGTCAAGTTTTCGAGTACAGAATTGTTGGGACACATTTGACGTAATGGAATTTAATTTTAAATTTTTAACAAATTTCAAACATTTTTGCATAATTTAAATTATTGCTGATTATTCAAAGCCATTCTTTTTTAATTAAAATGGGTTAAAACTAGGGTGACCATCTAATTTTGATGAAAATACAGGACATTTGATAAATTTCCAAAAAAATACAGGACACAAAGGAAAATTTGAAAATTAACGGAAATTTTCGTAAAAAAAATACAGGACCTGGAACAAAATTTTCAAATTTATACAGGACAGGGTTTTGAAATACAGGACTGTCCGTTGTAAAACTACGCAGATGGTCACCCTAGTTAAAACTTACTTGTGAACTAATTACAAACCCATTACAACTTAATGACAGATGAACAGATGCAGCAAAGACTTGCCATATGCAGGAAATTATAGTTTCATATCTTCTGTCATTTAGATTGTTTATATGATTCATTTGAAGCTTGGCCTCATATTACTCGATAAGATATAAATCTTCACCAACCATTAGATTTAAGCTTTTGTGATTCCTCGTTATTAAAACTATTGACATTCTCAAAGTCAAATAAGACACATGACGTAAATAAAAAACGTGAAATTAATTTTTCAAAAAAAAAAAATCAGGTGTAAGGTTAATCAAGTCACATCCGGAAAATTATATATCTACGTAACAGCCGCAAGCAAACAACAAGACAAAGAAGATTAATAAAATTCTAATTAATGTCAACAAGAATGACATATTAAGTCACATGGTCAGTCCGTTAAAGTGAATAAATTAAGAGCTGCACATTGTACCACAAAATGATGAGCAACAAAAGAGAAAAAGTTCATCAGTAAAGTTTGTAAAGAAGGGGAGATAAATGTGAATGAGCTTTTTTTTATGCAACGTTATGTGCTTTTTCAATTCTTGTAAATAATTCATGCAAACAACAAGCAACATCTGCGTCAACAAGTCTCTTTCCGAATAAAGGCAGTAAAATAAAAGGAGATGAACAGTAAAAAAAAGTTTGAGTCTACAATTCTCTCAGCATTCTATGGACGTGCCATTCTATTGGATAAATATTTTCTCAATATTATTTTATGTCATCATCGTGAAGTTTACTTTATATTACGTTATATCTATTTAGTAAGCATAAGATAAATTCAACCGCAAATAATTGTGCTGAATATAGCATCAAAGAATATAAAAATAAAAAAAAATCGGGTATGTTAGCACTAGAATTTGCGTCATCGACCAGAGAACGGTGATTTCAGAGTTAAAGTTCAAACGATGTGAATTATCTTTAGGCTATTATGGTTGAGACAAATAGCGAAGCTTTCTATTTAGGCACAATAAAGTTCGTTTTTTGGAAATGATTATTGTTATTATTCGATTTTGTTGGAATTTTTCTATTGTTAGGGATGAGACAATCCTTAATATTATCTAGAGTCTAAGAATGTGTGACTATATACCAAATTCTTTTGTCCAAATCTATTAGCGCACCAATTATTCTTCAGTCATTTCGAAATCATCTTTAAGACTCTAAATAACCTCAATAATAATAATAATGTGTGAAGGGCCCAACCTTTCAGCTGGAGGCACTGCGATTCTAATTAGAACAGAATCTATTGTACCACACCCTTTAGACCTACAGTTTATAGGATCCGAACCACTTGCAAGCTCTGCACATTGCAAAGACACGAGTACGTCATAAGACCTGATGTACCCTGCAATCTACCTAGTCACAATCTGTGTGCGCAAGATGCCATAAGGAAGTCATCCAGATGCTAGTATATCCTTGTATACCAACAAAGGAGGCATATTCTGTGCCAAAGACCTCAAAACTAGGGTTCGGAAAACCACTAACTGATTATCTACAGTTATCAACTTTTAGATTATCTACACAAAATCTACAAACAAATTTTGGAGACTTTTTTAATAAATTTATATATAGAATACACTTATTATACATTAAGAGAGCTCAAATGTCAACATTAGCTATTAAAAATCAACTATTTGTTTATCGAATATTTGTAACGGTTATATGAAATTCAAATATTGTTCACATGTTTGTAAACAAAAAAAATTTGCGAAAATTTCTTAATTTTCAATTAAATCACCACACAAACGCTTTTAAAATACTGAATGAAGCCTAATGTTACTTTATTTGAACTGTTACATGCTGTTACAGTCCTGATTTTAGCATTTCAACTCTTTTTTCAGTAAATTAATAACGTTTTTTTCCACTTTGAAAAAATTATCTACAGTTACAAATTGTAGATAACTGTAGATAAGTGTTACTAACTGTTAATAACTGTAGATTTCCGAACCCTACTCAAAACTACACCCAACACACGAACCGAGCTTCGTTTCTAGAACGGTGAAATGGAAAAAGAGCTTCGAAAATTAGATATGCCCTGGGATTGAACCCAGGACCTTTGGCACAGAAGGCCAACGCTCTACCATTTAGGTCACTGATGCCATTTCACCGCCTTAATAACTTGAACTAGTCACGATATCCAACAGTAAATAAAAAAACATTCAAAAATATCCGGCATCAAACAATACAAGCAAAGACTTTAAAGAGAGATTCACTGAACACAATCCTATGACGCAAGTCATAAATGAATCATTTTAAAGTCTTGTCGAGAAGTTATTTTCATTACTTAAATGAATTTTATAATTTTCGTTATCACTGACTCGAAATAATGCTCAAATGTGTATGTTTAATACAAAACGAAAAGAAATTGAAAGGAAAAAAAAAATACTTTTAATCATTTAACGTTAAATCGTGATAAAGACTTTTCAGTGTATATACATAGAACTTAATGAAAAATTTAGTAGGTATGCTAATATGCGAGTTTTAAGAAATTAAGTACAAAGTGCAAAGTTTCAAAGTTCATTGACTTCGTCTTAATTTTTTCAGATATATTTGAATTTTAAGATTGGATTTTTCAAAAGGAAAAGTTTATGAACAGGAGGATGAGGAAGCAAGTAATTGAGTTGCAATCTTATTAAGGGGGAGGAAAACTTTTCAAAAAGAAGAAAATTCCTCAAAGTTAAGTGGAAAATTCATCATGAAGATTTTTGGTGCTATTTTTAAACGGATATGCTGCTTTAATCTGCACTTTTTCCGTCTTAGGTGATCAGAATTAATCAGTCAGTTCCTGATTGGTAATGTATTTATATTCATACATCAATTCTGAACGATTGTAATGGTCTTGTGCTTGAATAAGGCGCAGTAGTCATGTATACACAACATCCCTTTCAAACTTTTATTTGCATCATCTTCATTTACTCATTTTCTTAATTTATAAGATATTGAGTGGTTTCAATGTTGTTATGTATCTTTGGGAAATCTTCTTTATGAGTTAAGTAATAATTATGCTAGGAGGGAAGTTCATGATGTCGGAATATATTTGAAAGTATACATCAACCGTAAAAGTAACAACAAATTAGATTCAACGTAAGACGAGGATTTGTGCGTCAAAATATTTGTTTTAAAGGGTTCATACGTATTTAACGTCATACAGCAAAAGACTTATGTCTACAACAGCCTAAAGCCTCCTTGTCCATATAGCATTTATTATATCAAGGAATAATATATTGCTAAATATTTGTTTATGATAAATACCTGTAGATGTATGTCTCTATGTCCTGTCTTTCCATAAGCAGAATTCTTGGTAAGATATCGTCGAATATTTTTTAGCACCCTTGCCTCGACTTCACTTGCAGGCTCGTCCTCATCGTTTGGTTCGAAATATACTAATTTTGTCAATGTACCTCCTACATCTACTCCAATTGCTGGCACTAATAAATGAAGAGATTGAAAATTAAGCATTAATTAATTTATTGGATATCGCGAAAAGCACAAATGAATCGGATGGAATTTTAATAGCAACCAAAAATATTAATAATGTCAAAAAAATGCTACTACAAAAATAGTTTTAAGAGATGATATATGATAATGAACGAAAACAGTAAACAAATTTCATGAAGAAGATGATGACATTCGCATTAAAGTAAATAAAATAACACAATAAGAATTTTTTTAAAAATATAAATACAGGCATTGTGACAAGCAAACAATTAAAGTATTTACACACTAAATATAGACGATCTGGCAGAAAAAAATTATTACCTGGCAATTGGGCTGAGAGATGATCACATTTTTCATCATTATTCGAATAATCAGATTCATTTTGATGATTAATTTCATTACATTTAATTACTGCAAAATGAGATTGTTTTGCTTTTTATTAAACTTGATCAAAAGTCATCGTCAAAGTCGAAAATGTGGAATTTGAGATTATAATATTTTGTAAACATCTTTGTTTTCTCAAAATTAATGATTTTTGATCGTGCTAACACCATTTGTGTAACAAATTTTAATTTGAATCGCTTTCAGGATGTTTTGAATTCTTCAAGTGATAATAAATGCATTAAATTTTAAACATATTCAATCTAAGTGTTTTTTTTTTTTGAAGATCCAAAAAACTTTTCACGAATAAATTTAAAGTTTATAAATTCTTAAAATTGTTCATTTTTTAAAAATTCAAAATTTGTTGAATATTTTTGAATAAGGGCAATTCTACGAAAAGGTTTCATGAAAATAATCCGTGTCAATTGCATGAAATTTTTCAATTATTTTATTTTCACTTGTGCATAGTTTTTCAAAAATCTAATTCTCATTTCCTTTTCTATTGGTTAAACTGTGAATTACGATTACATCTGCACTCAAATTACTTAGCTATGGCTTGGGAAATTCATGGTTTTAATTTTAATATTTGGTAGTTTTTTTTGGAATTGTCTTCAAATTACTCTGTTTCACTTATGAAATTTTTCGTAGAATCCAAATTACAGCTTAATTAAGGCTTCCACAAATATGATTTTGACATCGTTTTGAAGCTTTTACTTTAAGCTATAACTTTGTATACTTAGTATTACTGGAAATTTTACCACCTCAAAGACATTAATGAAAACATTTTGGAAATTTGGCCGAAAAAATTCATGTGAAACAGAGTAATTTTTCGTAGAATGTAAATAATTCTTTAATTAATCATTTTTAATATGTTTAAGTGAGAAAAATATGTAGATATCGGTAAAATCTACTATTAAATACATGAAACATGGGGAGTAATGCAATTTATAAAGAGAAAAACAGTGTTACGCCACCTCATTCTCGAAAAACTTCGAAATTGCTTCGAAATTAATGTCGAAAACTTCGAAATTTAAGATGAAAATTTGAATTTTAATTGTGGGTTATATAAAATGTAAACAAATGAAAAATTTTATATCAAAATCAATGATTTTAGCTACTATTAATCATGATTTGCCCTAATCAACATAATCTTTGTAATGTTTTATCACTTTTAAATAGTTTACACCACAACAATGAGCTTAAATAAGCAATTTATAAAGGAAATAATAATTTATGAATTCATTTACTAACACATTTACATGTTTTGTTTACTTTTGATATTTTCGTCCTGAAATTTTTTAAATTACAAATTTTTTCTTTTATCTAAACATTTTCAGCTCAAAAACATTTGAAAAATCTAAAAGATAATTTACTTCAATGAACCAAATAGTTTTAAGCTTTGAAATAAGTAAAATTAAGGGTATTTCGTAACGGTTAAAATAAATTTAAAATATTCAAAAAAATCGGTAAAAACTCTGAAACTGTAATTTTCGAGGTGTCGGAACACTGAGAAAAAAACGTTAAATTTTATATGTTAAAAGTCCGTTAAAATCATTTTATTGTACCAAAATAAAATCTGAGCTTTTACTCTTTCGATTGTCAAAAATATCTCATAAACATCAATTCAATATTCAATAAATGTCAACATCACCAATTCATCATCAATCGATATTCAATTTCATGAACTCTAACAACAAAAAAACCACAGAAAAATATGAATTTATAAGCGAATCGTGTTTGCTTAAAATGCTTTTAAAAATAAGGGACATAACTTTTTTTGCGATGTTGTCAACTCGTACTAATGATAAGCACATATGGAGATACGCACGTGTAGGGTCACAGATGTTTAAATAAAAGAGAATCCCCCCTAACAAATTAATTGTCAATTAATGTTCTTCTTCTTCAAGCTTATTGAATATTTTTAAATATTTAATGAATTTTTTTTTATAACCATAAGCATGTTTCATTCACTCACTTCACTCATTCGAATAAATGACTTTTTTTCGTCTGTCGATTCTCGTAGCGAGAGATGGGAGATACACAATCGGTTGTATTTTGAAGGATGAACTTTACCCATTAAAAAAAAAATTTTATTTCTTCTTAATCGTTCACACAAAATAAATAAATATGAATTCTTCTTACGTCAAAGCAAGAGCTTTAAAGACTTTTTGGTTGACAACGTCATCAACTTGAAAAATAATTATTCTCACAGTAAACACGTACTGATTTGCAACAGAAATGCGACACCAGACAGAATTCTTTGACAGCAACAAAGACAATCATAATAAGGCTCAGCAACAATCAATGAATTTTAGGATCAATTGTTTTGTTTACGAATGAAATCAGGCTTTAGGAATTCGAAATTGGAGTTTTGAGGCTTTTCCGTCATTTTGGGTCATTTGAGAAATAAGAAGAAAATCAAGGTTGGGATACTCTTTTATATTTGTGAGGAAATAAGCTATAAGTCTCTACAAGATACAAAGCTATATTTGTTTGATATTTGAAAACGTCATTTATGAGCGATCCCATATCAAGTTATTGTAATTTCTAGCAGCAGATAAAAGAACATAAGCAGCAATCCCTGATTTTGAAGGAACAACATCATGTGAGTAAGAATGAGTAGAATAAGATAATGATGAATGAAATAAATAATAATAAAGTTATCGTCTTACATGTTGAGGATATATCATTTCTGTTAATTTCATCCTGAGCATTATTATTGATGAATGACCGACATTCAGTAAATTTATTTGTTTCACTATCACTACTCGTTGTTACAGATGATGCTGATGAGGTTTTGGCTTTCTTCAACTTTAATTTTTTATGTTTTGGCATTGTGACCTTGTGACTTCTTACGCTGTAATGGTAATGTTGTTTATGTTTCGATGAATTCGTAATAACTAATGTTGACTTAATACCATCGCAACTATTTGACAATGAACCCGATGATGATGATGACAATGAGGATGAGATCGACGATACAGGTGGTGTCAAATATACATTTGACTTCTTTGTGCGGCAGGTTTTTGGATATTTGACATAAAGTGATGCCATTATTATTTATTTATTATTCTCTTCTTTCCTCTTTCCTCTTTTATTTTTTATTCTTCTCCGACTTGTCTCTTTAACTCCTTTCGACGTCTGCCAATGATTGATATGCACATAAAAAAACTTTTACACGTATCTTTTTAACTTGTTCCTTAATATCGGTATATGTTTTGTTGACAACTTTTTTTTGTTTTTAAACTGCTATAAAATCAGAATTTGTTTTTAATCACATATCAGGTGATATCTTTTTAAGTACAAAAGTTATTCATTTCTTTATCTTTCAGGTGTTTCAAACGCAATTGCCGGTTCCTCTCGATATTCCTCGAGAAGCTTTAAAGCATTCTACGTAATGCTTGACCTATACTAAGGTTAAATAATATTAACATTCACGAAAAGCGTCAGTAAATTGAAGTAGGAAGCATAATAAACAAAGTACACTTGACCACAACGAACGCCTTGCTTAACTGTAAACAAAAAGTTTACGTGCTGTTTTGGTAGTAATTTAAAATGAGGAATATTTAATAAAAGTTTTTAGACATAAGGCAGGTATTTAGGCTTTAATCTAAACACAATCTGGAGAGTTCTTAAGCAACTTGTAATGATCTTTATTATTTTGAGGCTAATACTATTTTCTAACGAAACAGTCAGTATTAATTTATTAAGAGAAAAATCTAAGAGAGTCGAGGATATTCTCGAGAGATTTTAAAGAAGTCAGGTAATGTTAAGCAACTACAGTAAAGTCACGAAAGTCATTAAAACCTCAACTTTATAACTTGTAAACCTAACCCTTGATTTCGTAGTTGAATAAGCTCGTCTGTGAGGGTCAAGGAAGCACAGAATGTCGCAAGATTCATCACATGAATTAGAATTACAGAATGACTACTTAACATTCAGATTAAGCTAATAGACAAACCATTCAGAAGTTCCGCTATTGTGTAGCAATACACGACTTTCTAATAATTTTTCTAGCAAAATAAAAGATCCATTGAGAATCCCTGGACTGAATGAATGAACAAGGCTCTTTATTTGAAAGGAAAATGCGCACAAATTTCGTTTCGTGTGTTTCAATAACACATTAACAGATCGTAAAATGATACCACGAGCACATCTATTTCTTTTATCTATTTATCGCAAACAATTCAGGCATGAGAGAATCCGACATTGATGGTTTTTAATGATATCTCATTTTAAGAAGGTAGCACATTAAAATTTAAGATTATTCTAGTTCCTTTAAGATAACAAATGAAAGAAGTTGCACTGCGTGGAACAAGGAAATGCGAATGGTTTAAATTAAATTGACACACTGCTTTATGATTTTTATAGGTAGTGGAGTTCCTCATTATTTAATATATTAATTAATTTAAATTCGCTCGATTATTTAAATAAAATTTCCAATTTAATTAAAAGCCAACAACAACAATAGCTTCAAAATATTGAAATGCTTAATACCTGACACTTGATGGCCCTTATTGGCGAAAAGGCACATTTAATTAAAATGTTTTATTTTTATCGCTTTTTACTGTAAAACTATGTAAATTTATCAGTTAATGCTTCCATCGGGCATTAATATGTGTAATAAATTGAAAATTACTGAAAGATGGAAACTTTATTTTCACGTCAATTTATTGTTTTCGGAATGACTACATACATTTTTTCAATGCGCGCAAAAAATGCACGCGTGTTTCTGTTAAAATTTTTTAAAATTATATAATAACAAAAAACATATCGAAAGATGTGTTTTACTTCTTCATGTAATAATGCGAAGCATACACACATGCATGCTTGATATCATTCATAATGTTCATTCAAATATTTGCCATCAATTGATGGATTTTTTTTCAATTAAGCGACACCATTCCCATTTCCTTTAAGCACATTGGCACTGTTTGCAAACAATTTAAACCAAAAAAATTCTTTAAATTCTTTTTGCTGACTTGAAACACACCACAGAAACATATTAAAGAATTAAATAACTTGTGCATTACTCAACATACATTTTAAATAACTGATCATTTTTTCATTTTGAAGAATTTTTTATAAATTTAATTTCAAATATCTTTTCTTAAAAAAATTGATTTGTAAGGTTCACAAAGTATAAATGGTCAACCGTTTAGTTCCGTTTTGAAAACTCTACTGAAACCAAATATATTCATATAGTGTGAGGTACACATAATAATAAAGAAAGAAAAAATATCTTTCGATTGTCCAGCACAACCAAAAGAAATAACTTCAAATGTATTAAGCGCTCATACATGTGAGTTTGTACGATTAACGCTGTCTGTCATAAGTGATATGTGTTGCTTTATTAATTGTGTATTAGTTAACTACTATGCTCTTTTGTCTATACATCAATATTAGTCTCCAGGTATAATGCACGTTGTATGTGTGTTTTGTCGGGTTATTGATAATAATAACAATATTTTTCCTCATATCAGTTGGGCAATGTGCAAGGTTTTAAAGTAGATGATACTATATCATATTGTGAATACAATTCATGTAAGATTAATTGCTGACAACGACAACTATCAATTTAAATAACTATTATTGTGTATCAACATGTCAGTATAGTTGGATTGTATTTTTAAACTCAATCGCGTGATGTTAATCTTCATTTATGAATTAATAATTCTTCAAGATTCGTTCGCTAGTATGACGGAAAAAGAAACTTTCGAAAAAAATCTCTTATACAGCAGTCTGATTGACCTTGAAATACTTTTTACGATAAGTAATGTATTATGGACTTAAAATTATATTTCAATGCCTGCGTTTTTGGGTTGCGATATCTTTCTTTTTTTGTGTTTTCTTACAGTGAAATATCTGTTATTTAAATAAGCGATGGATGTGTGAATGACAAATGTAATGTATGCATCATATTATAAAAAAGCTAGATAGTTATGAATGAAATTTAATGAATACGAATAGGAATAGGATTTTAATGATTAATTCAAGTTCATCAAAAATTCACTTGTGACATCAATCTCATTTCTCTTTCATTCGTCATCAGGCATTTCTTCTTCTTGATCTGCTTACTGTTTCATGTAAAATCCACTTTTCTCTCTTTTGATTGAGTAAATTTTTTTGTTCGAAAAATGAAATTATGAAATATTTATGATATAACATTAAATTATAATGAAATCATTTCATCTGTGACCCTTAATACGTTAATTATAGCATGTTTTTATTATGTTTCATTCATAACTTTTATGATTTCTCACCATTTTCACATTTTTCCTTTTGTGTTTTGGAATTTTCACAACTTTTCTTGTCTTCTTTTGATTTGTCCATTTTGATTTCTTTATTTAACTTTATTAAATAACTAGCAACTTATTCTAATTTAAATAATCGTTCAACAAGTTCAATGAATGCCTTTATTCAGCAGAAAAACACATTTTTAAAACACTTAATTTCAGTTTTCAATGATTTACTGTTTTCTCAAACGTAAACAAAAGTCATGAATTTAAATATTTTTCAACCGTTAATTTCTTTTAAAATTTTTGAACTTATCTTTAATAGATCTTATTTCATTTCAAAAGGTGTCGCTACTATTTTTTGTCTACATTAATTAACTTATCTTAATTTTGTTAAATAAGCAAGATATTCAATAAAAGATGTTTTTTTAACGAACTTTTAAGTTTTTGAAATCGCTCACATTGCTGAAAAAAAAATTTCAAATATTTCTTGCAACGGTTCTTTTCTGTTCTTAGCATACTTATGCTCTATGAGGTAGGCAATGTGACAAGATAAACAAATTTGGTAATGACAGAGAACGTGTGGAAGTTTTAAATATACCAATTTATTTTAATTACTTTCAATTAACATTCTGAGCATTGCCGTGTAAATTTGCATATAAAGAATGAGTAAATTTATGCAAATGATCCAAAATACGTTTTATTAACACGTGAAAATTTTCTCTGGAAGCAATTCTTTGATCTTTTATATTTTTGGGATTTTTTCAATTTGTTTAGCTCAACAATTATCTCGTTCACAGAATAAATAAGCTGTGTAAATATTCACCACAACATTCAAATCCACCACATCGCTCGCGTGATTCAAAATGTTTGTCAATTAACAGATTTGAAATTTTTCTCGGAATAAATTTGTTATGTCCTCTAGATGATTACTGTCAATAATATAAAAAAAAAAATGTCTCCTTCTGACTCATGAGCAAATATGCATTGTACAAGACGATCTGTTATTCAAACAAGCAAATCATGACTGAAAAAATAAACTGCAAATGATGTTTACTGAAAAAAGTTGTTAATTAAATAGACACTTTTCAATGTTAATTAACATATATTATATCGTATATTAAAGTACATATTTTAAATAAAGTAACTTTCAACTGTTTTTTTTTTTTGATTTAATGGAAAAAATTATACAAATGATGTTGTGAGGATGATGATGAGAGATAGGGACATAGGAAGGGGGTACATTCAACAGAATTGAATCAAAATGAAACACATTTCTCCTGTCAAGGACCCCAAAACCCCCTAAATACGTCCCAGATAACAGAAAAAATTTACATTAAAATTAAATGTCGCATACGTGTGATATTTTCCTTTTTACACTATTTAGTCAACATTACGTAATAATTATTATTATTATTGTTCAGACATTAAGTTTTTTAATGCGATTTAAACTTGTGCATCTCTCATCATCAGCAGCCGTGCTCATGAAAATGTGTGTTCTATGGTCATGTTGTTTGCTTATTGAGGTCTCCTTTTAATCTCCTTCTTTTTATACACGAAAAGCGGCCTGTAAAAGACAAAATTAATATATTAGTTGATTGATACATCCATCCGTAAGAATACCGAAATACAAGCATTCGCCTTCCCCGCTTTTCATCTTCATTGTCCCTTATTATTTCATTGACGGCGAGATCGAAGGATATCGGCTCACCATGTATACTTGCCTCACTTACATTAGATAAATCACGCTTTGATTTGCCTGCCTTTTTTTCGTTATCATGCTTGTACAATTCGTCTATGAAGTCTGTGTATTTGGCATCTACAGTTTCAGGCTTCGTAATAACAAATTCATCTTCAGTATCCTTTACACCTATTGGATTCGTGTCTTTTTTATCATCGGCAGGTCGACAATCACAGTAGAAAGTTGACAACCAACAGACGAAAACAATCTATTTTTGGAACGTTACAAAGAGAATTTCATTAAGTAATACTACTTGCTTTTATATACTTTGTAGTACTTGTTTCAGAGTTGGATTTTTGGAGACTATGGTTATGTAATCTACAGTAAATGTAGGTCATTAAACAAATTTTTATAGTTTTACTGCTGATTTAAATTCTCATCATTTTGCAGGATTTTTAAAACTCATAATTTTCAGCTCAAACTGCATAGAACTGTTTGGCAATCTGTCAAGAACTATGCAATATGTTAGAACAGCTGTCATGAGCTGTAGAATATATTTTATCAGTTCCACTTAACATTTAATTTGAACTTAATGGAGGAACAATGCAGATAATTTGACATTAATGTCGGATCCTATGTGAAGTTATGCTTTAGAAGTATTCACAGTAAAAGTATTAACCCTTTCATTATTGATTGATTGATCATGGTCTGGCATGAGATTGCTGCTGAATCCATATAGAGGGAACTTTTGCAATTCCTGATTAGAATTGAACCCTTTTGTGTCTCAGAATTCAGATTCAGAAGACCTAATTGATCATTCTTCGATAAAGTCGTTTAAAAATTACTTGATCGTTTGATTTCACATTGTTACATCATCTTTACATGATGTAATCTATGTCTTCAAAAAATCAAAGTCTCAATTTTGTACATCCAGTAATTTTAATGTCAAATCTTAACCCTGTACATATTTCAGAATTCAAATTAAAATCTGACCCAATTTGTCAAGACATCAACTCTGACACATAAAACGAAATGTCAAAAGAGATTCAAGGAAGGGCACAAACTAAATGTCGGACAGCAACAAAAAAAAACGACAAAAAAATGCAATTTCTTCTTTTGCAAAGTCGTTGCTCGTTTGGATGGAAATAAAATTAAATAAAAAGTGAATTTTTTTTGTCTTCTACCGACAACGAGAAAAAAAAATAATACCTACAATTGCAATTTTTTTTACTGCCAACATTGCTGAGCTTCTTTTATTTATTTGTTCTCTTGCACTGTTTGATAAATCACCAAACGAAAATTTTATATCACTTCAAATTTTATGGAATTTTTTTTATATCTTTCAAAAAAAAAGCAGCAAAGCACACAGAAATGCAGGCACAAACAAAAAAATATGAAAATATGACTTGAGCGTTGATTTTACAGATTAGGACTGAACTGACTGAACGTTTATCATATTCTGAAGCTTCGAAAAGTCAAAATACAAAAGATATACAGCACAGCCAAGTGGTGAAAAAAGTGAGACAACACTCTGACATAAGAAGAAACAAAATCGCGAACGAAACAACTACAAACAGAATAAACATTTCATTCGGATGATGTTAATTGCCTTTTTCCCATTTTTTTTTTTCATCACTATAATGGCAATTGCTGCTCATTGAAAGCTAGAAAAAAAAAAGCTTAGAGTCTTGTGGGGAATATGTTTGTTTATTTTTCCTTGTTCAGCTTTTTTTTCTCTCGCTCATTCTCTCTCGCTTACTGTCTCGGGTCTGTACTGTGTGCTTTGTGCATTGTCATTTTTTTATTTGGCAGTTTAAGCCATTGATGGGTGTTACTGTTTGTTCCAATAAAGTTGAGTTCACTTAATTTTTTATAGCCACAAAATGTTGATGCTCATATTAATTATTATGGCTATTGCAAGCCTTTGCCTTTATAATCCATCGGAATATCCCATCGTCGTTATGATACATTTTATAGACCATCATGTATTCATATTCATTTCCGGAAGGATTAATGAGGTTTTAATTGAAAAAAGTCAATATGGGCAAAATATGGATGTGTGTGGATATGCCGATGCTAGAATGAATCAATTTTACGGATATAAAAACAGAAATGTTATAAAATATTAAATGAATTCATAAATCAAAAACTTCCACGCACAATTACTTTCCAAAATGCTTCATATGTGGACCATTAAGTCATCAGCATTGCTGCATGGATGCTCGCAAGCCCCGCGCGCGAAGTAAACAAATAAATATCTCGTGAGTTAATTAATTGATTTCACCGTCCTAAAAGGACTTTTGTGTAACAAAAACATATTTAAAACATTCACAAGTACTCAATATATTAAAAATAGTAAGCAGTGTACAGTTAAACAGTGTATAATTAGTAACAAAACTTTAACTTCAAAAATAACAAAAACAAAAACATTACTAGTGCGCGTACCCGGCACAGCCGGTGGCGTTAAAATGACTCAGGGACGAAAAGCTGCAAAAAGAAAAAATGGAACTCCATCAGCAGTCAAACAAGCCATTGTTAAACAAATTAAAACAAACGAAATGACTCAACAATCAAACAAAGCACAAAGTACAGGAAACTTGACATATGACAACAGCAAGAAGCTCTCGAATGAAATTGAAGGAGAGAAGTACTTAATTGTGCACAGAACTGACGATGGACTAACAATGAAGGACATGTCACCAATTTTGCTTGAATCGGCATTCAAAACAGTCACAAACAATGGAAACATTACATGCAGAACACTAAAAAGTGGTGACATACTAATTAAAACTGAAAACGTCAAACAAGCTAAAAACTTAGTCACACTGACAAGAATCACACACGTAAATGTCGAAATTACTGAACATAGATCGTTGAATACATGCAGAGGAGTTGTAAGTGCTTATGAACTAAAGTATGAAGATGAAGACATCCTTCTTGAGTACCTGAAATCGCAACATGTAACAAAAATCGATTTTCATATGAAGAATGTAGGCAACGAGCGAGTCAAATCAGGCCTTGCTTTTGTTACTTTTGGGATAAATGAGCCACCAGAGTATCTAACAATCGGATGTCTAAGATTGAAAGTGCGCCCATACATACCAGCACCAATGAGATGCTTTGTATGCCACAAATTTGGACACATGTCCAAAACATGCCCAAGTCAAAGCACCCCAAAGTGCTATAACTGCTACGAAGACAAACATATTCACACCAGAGACGAAAAGTGCACAAGACAACAAAAATGCATCAATTGTGGATCAAATGATCACAACAGCTACAACAGATCATGTACAGAACTTAAAAGACAAGTAACAATACAAACTATTAAGGTTACACAAAAAGTGTCATTTTCTGAGGCAGTCAAACAATCAAATTTGCAACGAAACACGTACGCACAAGTAACATCAAACAACAACACAGCACAAAACATAACTCCATCGAGCACAGCACAGTGTAAATGTCCACACTGCGGTTTTCACAGAACAAGTAACGAGCAACAAAGACAAACTATAAATTACGGAGACTTGAATGAAAATGATCAGGAAACAAAGCAGTCTGAAGGTGAATTATCATCAACGGCGTTGGATACGGGGTGTATAGCGGACAAAGAACCCCCAGATCATAATGATTAATACACCAACAATCATCAATTGGAACATTCGAGGGCTCAATGCAAACCGCAATGAACTTGAGGTATTATGTAATGAATTTCAACCAACTTTTATTTCTTTACAAGAGACGAAAACCAGAACAGACGTAACATTCAAGAACTATAAAGTATACAGTAAAATAAAAGACTGTAACAGCACGAACATAGCTAGTGGAGGAGTGATGATACTCGCAGACAAAAACATTCACACTGAATTAGTAGACATAGACACGACTTTACAAGCAATTGCTATTCAGACAACATACCCAATCAACTTTGTATTTTGCAATGTTTATTTAGATCACGGACTTAGAATAACAGAAATACAGGACAAACTAGACAACTTAATAAGACAATTAGGACATAATTTCATACTGACTGGAGACTTCAATGCACACAACGCAATCTGGGGATCACATAAAACCGATGGAAGAGGAAGGACTATTGAGGAACTCATTGACGAACACTCTTTGATAATTAAGAACGAAAACCAACCGACACACTTAGCGAGCAGTAACAACAGACTAACAGCAATTGACGTAACACTATGTACACAAGGACTTTCAGACGAATTTGACTGGACTGTGTTAGACGATCTTTCTGGCAGTGATCATTTTCCGATCCTGTTATCTTTCACACAATACGCACAAAATATGACACGACGAGAAAAATATAACACTAACACTGCTGACTGGACAAAGTACAGACAAAATATAAACTTTCAAGACCTAGACAGAACAAATATAGACTCACTAACCAAAGACATTACAAAACGTATACTTGGCGCTGCAAAAATCTCAATGACTGTATCTAAAGGCTTTACAGGCAAAAGAAAACTTCCATACTGGAACGACGACATTAAGACAAAAATTATCGAAAGGAAGAAAGCCATTCGAGAATTTAAAAGGACGCTAGACTCAGGCACAAAAGACAGAATTAACAGACTAACTACGGAAATACACGAGACCTTAGAAATGTACAAACGACAATCATGGACTCAGTTTACAAGTTCAATTAATTCCAAAGCGACGTCAAAAGAAGTTTTTGACAAAATACGGACATTAAACGGTAAGAAGAAAAGTACAGTAATTAAGACATTAATTGATGACAACGGAAATCAAGTACATGACCAAACCTTAATAACTAACATTATAAAGCGTACTTTAGAAAAGACATACAAAGACAACACACATAGACAACGGGTAATACCTAACGACAATAACAACAACTCTTATAATGACACAATAACACTACTTGAACTTGAACAAGCACTTGCAAGCTGCAAAGGCTCCTCACCTGGACCAGACGAGATACATTACGAAATGATTAAACAATTAGACGTAAAAGGAAAAAAGACAGTACTCGAACTATACAATGAAATTTACGACAAAGGACAAGTACCAAAGACTTGGAAACATTCCTTGGTTATTCCAATTAAGAAACCTGGAAAAGACCCCCGACATTCATCACACTATAGACCAATCTCATTGACAAGTTGTTTAAGTAAAATACTAGAACGCATACTGAACAGAAGATTACAATGGACTTTAGAAAGTAGACATTTACTAAACGAATACCAGTCAGGATTTAGACGAAAAAGAGGAACAACAGACAACATAACATATTTGACGGATGAAATACAAAAAAGTTTTATTGAACAGAAACAGACAGTAGCGATATTTATTGACATCAAAAAAGCATACGACACTATCAAGACGGACGTTATTATTGACAGTTTACTTAAAATGGGTTTTAAGGGGAAATTAGTTAAATATATTCAAAATTTTTTATCGGACAGGACTTTTAATATTCAATTAGGAGGGGCAAAATCTGACAGAGGACACATGGAAAAGGGTATACCACAGGGTTCAGTTATCTCTTGCACACTATTTAATGTAGTGTTCAATGAGATACTGAACTGTATCGACGAACCAATTAAGTACTGCGCCTATGCTGATGACTTGGTGGTCTTTATGAAAGGAAAGACCACTAAAGAAATCGAAGCAAGTCTTCAGGTGACACTTGACAAAATAAAGACTGACATGAAACAAAAAGGACTAGAAATCTCTAACGACAAGACAAAATGTATGCTTTTTTCGACCAAACACAAAAAGAACCTTGTACTTCCTAAATTTACAGTAGACAGACAAACTCTGGAATGTGTGAAGAGATTCACTTTTCTCGGGGTTACTTTCGACATGAAACTTAATTGGACGGAACATATTGACAATACCACATCAAAGACGAAACAAAACATGAAAGTAATAAAAATGCTTTCAAACACTACATACGGATCTGACAGAAAAACATTGCTAAAATTACATGACGCACTTATTACTTCCATAAATACTTATGGAGCAATAGCATTGAATAACATGACCAAAGAACAAGACAAAAAACTCAACACGGTACACATAAAATGTCTAAAGTACGCAATTGGTGCTTTCATAACATCACCAAATAAAAGTGTGGAGGTTGAAGCAGGAGTGATCCCTATGAAGCACCAAAGACAGTTACAACGAGCTAAATATGCCTGTAAAGTCCTGACAAACACTAAACATCCATTATACGAAAACTTAAAAGACAACAGCAAAGATCACAAATACTCACAACGAACGAAACCTCCAATAACTTACTCAATGAGACAAGATCTACGGAATTTGAATATAGATAATGACACAAAGATTAATAAGACACAGTTAACACATCTTCCACCTTGGACAAGAACCAAGCACAAGTATGACATATCACTAACAAGATTTGACAAGAATAACACACCAGACGAAGTATTCAAAGTAGAGTTTAACAAAAAA